GAAGTCTGTTCAACACACCACACAACCATCACATCTAGATGTGCTGCCAAATGTCAAAGGAGGAAAGTAAGAAAGTAATTTTGCCTTTTTACACATGGTTAATCTAAATCTCTAAATTGGAAGTTGCCATGAAAATTACTCTGAGAGTATCTAATTGAAAAAAATTTTAATTTCAACTCTTTAAAAAAAAAAAAGCCACAGCTGCAACAAAGTATGGTAATATTAATGAAAGCATATCTCTGCCTTCCTCAGTGCTGTGAAAAGAAAAATCACTCCCCAATGGAAATTCACCATTTTCACAGAAGTAAAATTACTCTTCTCTGTAAAAATGAGCTTTCATCATTTGCATTAAATGTAATTAAATAATGTAATTAAATTGTTGCAGTAACTAGTGTATCTCTGAATGCTATTTGGCTCCAGGAATGCTCAGTACATATTTGAAATCCAGATTGAAAAGAACTATATTCATAGCAGAATTCTGCAATGTCAAATAAGGCTAAAATGTTTGTTTAGGTTTTAAACAAACTTCACAAAATAAGAGGAGTAGAGATACATGAAAACAAGCAAACAGATGTAATTGTGACATATTACAGAATGGGAAGCAAAATATTTAAAAATCTTTAAACAAACAGGTAGCAATATGTCCTTATGAAGGACACTGAACCAAAAATAAATCACAACACAAGAAAGAGAAGACAAAACAATCTGTAAGTGATCTCTCCTACAAAGAGGGATAAAATTTCTTCTAGTGAATAAATGCCTTTGCTGACTTTTACACAGAATTTAAACTTAATAGCAATACAAAATGTTGTTATTGATTCTTATTTTGCTATATATAATGATGAAATAGCGATTAAGATGTGTTTGGTACTGCAAGAGAGAGAGGCCTGTAATAGTAATAACTAGAGCCAAACATCATGGAAGTCAATGGAAGGATACCTATTGGTAGAAATGGCAGACAGGTAATTTAGAGCCCAACCTACAAGTGTACCTACCTGGTCTACAGATGCTGACAGGCAAACACTGTTACCACTGGTAGTGCTCCAGTTCAAACTAACCACTTACGGACCGGAGTGCCAAGGATGCTTTATCGTGAGTTGGTCTGTTCAACTTTAATTCACGCCAGTTTCCACAGATATCTTTTATTGGTTCATTAGGCATCACGCCAACAAACAAAGGATTTTAAAAAGATACACTACATCTGAGTCATTTGCAAGCTACAGTATCTGAAAACTTTTACCTGTAGGTGAAATATGGGCAGGAACTGAGAAGAAAATTTTTGTCTGGAGAATTGTGCATGGTGCATTCTGCAGTCACTTCCTCGCTGGAAGGACACCCATGTCCTTAAAGTCTCACAGCACCCAGAATTGCTAGTAACACTTGGAAGGGAACAGAAAAACCCTTTTATCCTATCAATGTGTCACTTCTGTGCCTTGAGGTTATTTAAGAAAAAATTACAGCGATTCTGGCAACTTTCCTCCTTACTGTGTGGAGGCGTACTTTCAGGAGAGTTATTTTGTTAGTTATTAGACTATCAAAAAAGAAACTCAAAAAAGCCCTGTACCTATTCAGTTTCATCCTGAATGAAACTTGTCCCACCATCTTCAGTCCTGAGTAAATGAAGGAAAGACACGTCTGTACATGTGGAAGGAAGCCACATTCCCTTAGTGAGCTGCCCCAACCAAGCTCACTCATAGTCCTTAATTAACACCCCTTCATCCTACTGCATCTCAGATCTATTTGCACTTCTCTTCTTTCAAGCTAGATGAAGCAAAAAAACATGTAGCCAGAGGACTAGCAGCAATCACCCTGAAGAGATTCAAAAGCAGCCAACGGCTCCTTCATATAGACAAACTTAGCTTAACTAGCGAAATACGCTGTTCCAGTATATCTGCCCACAAGTACCTCACCAGGCTGATGTTCTATTCCAGAACAAAAATTACTGGCTTTTTACTCCACACTCTGATAATTATTCTGGAATTTAATGAGTTTTTATTCCAGAGCAGAGTTGCCCATCAGGGAACCATTGCAGCACAGATAACTGCATCACAATAAGCTGTGGCAGTGTATGAAAGAGAATTTCCCAGCGCAGAAAGCCCAGCATCTCAGAATCCCTGAGATGTTATCTCTGACCTACTTTGCTCAAAGTACCATAGAGATATCTCCACACAGGCATCCAATTATTTGTTGAAATCAACAAGTACTTTTGTGCTACACAGAATTAGTACAAGCTAAAAAAGAGAGTAGAGCAGGATGATAGGTGGAAAGAAGTGTTCTTTCTGTAGCATTTGCAGCACAGGAATTGATTTCACAAACATGCTCATCCAAGCAATGTAGTTCATTCAGTAGGCCATCAACTCCCATCAAAGAGTCATTCTTAACTTAAAATCAGCATGCCCATAACAGCAACAAATGAACGGAAAAGAGCAGAATAGTTCTTTAGAAACAGCCCAGCTGTCTCATGCATCCGACACTGCCACATACAAATGTTGTCATTGAAGGGGAAGAAAATGCCAGCCCTGAAGCTGAACACCACAGTTAGAAATGGTCACCAAAACCTAACTACGTACCACGCAAACGGGGTAACTTGAGACACTAAGCACATTCCCAGAGAAGACCACGCCGAAAAAGGACACTTCTGGAGTTCTTATAATATTTTCAAAAGCAACATGCCTAACAAAGGATTTTACAAGGCAATAAAACACTCCACTAGGTAATTAAATTCTCCTAAGTCAGCTTTTGCTAGCTGCATGCTTTATTACAAGGAGAGTTATCCCAAGGGATTAACAAACTTTGTGTTGAATATGACAAACTTTACTATATTTTTCTGGTCTTCTGAAACCTTGTAAAATATTGCAAAGGTTTGAGAGATAAATTTAGAACAAGCTGATTTAAGAAGAATAAGTTCCTAAGTATTCCGGTAAATGGTGTGGTATAATATTACAGGAAGGGTCACTTTTACCTCAAGAGCACAGTAAATCTCACAGTCAGGAAGTCCACTCTGGTGCAAATTGGTGCAAAATTTAGCTCAGTTAGTGCAGTTTTGAAATTTGCTACCATTGAGGGGATGATAATGTCTCTTTCTCTGATTTGTGAAAATTAAAACCTTGATCAACTGACAATACAGGAACCACAGCACCTCTGTACCATAAGACACTACTTCTTAGAGTAGCTCTGTACCTTTGATAAACTATTGAGTGAAAGAGGAAAAATTTCTGACTTGTTTGATTAAAAAATAAACAAACTAGAATTTTGTGCTAAATTAAATTCTTAGGTTGGACTGCAAAGAAATTTCATTTAATCTTCAAAAATTACATCCCAGACCCTTAGAAACAGTAAAGAGAAGGCAATATTACTAATTATTTTTATATTTATTAGAAAAACATAATTAAAAGAATACTTTTAGAAAAAAATAATTCTCCTTCTGAAATCACTTATGGTATCCTATCTACTTGCAGAAACAAGATAAAAAAGGCCCATTATTACCAAAACCTTAACATTTAAACAGTGCAATTTCCAGGTTCTAATAACAAATTCTGTAGTTGTAACCAACCAAAAACTTCCATCAATTGCTAACCAGGGGGAAAGAATCTGAAACCTGAACTTCTCAGAGCATGATTAGTTAGTTAGTCCACTAAATACCAACCTTCTTGTTGAAAGATACGACCACCAACTGAAAATGAAACAAAAGGACAGACAAAAAGTACAGCACAGGCAGTATTGATAGAGAGCCTGAGGAAAAGTATGCACATAACCTCTTCAGGGGGCCAAAAAGCATGGGCCATATAAGCACAGAACTAAACAATGCCTGGTTTCCTTAGGATTTATTTCTGATTATTAAAGTCTTTGAAGTCTAACAATACAAAAATGGCTTTAAAATTTTTTCCCTATGGGTGTGATACTTGAAGTTTCTCTGTCCCTACTGGATTCTGTAATCTTTAATAAGAAAATGGGTACATTGTTCAAGCTTGAAATGTTCTTCTGCACCTACTTGCCTATTTTAATGAACCTTGCAGAAATACGGCATCTTTGAAATTATTATATTCAGTCTTAGCTGAAATTAGTTGACAGGCTTCAAATTTATCATTAACACTGTCAGGCTTAAGCAAAGTTATGTACAGAGGAATACACAGAGTGGAACCCATTAGTTTTACTTCACCAGGCACCAAGGCTGAAAACACTTAAAAGAGTCACGGCAGAAGGGACAACCCACTCTTCCTTCCCCACAGCACTGAAAGGGCAGCTAGTTACCTTGCTCCTTCCTGTTAGGCTAGAATTGCAAGTTCTGATGTTTTTATCCCCAAACACAAGTGAAGGATATCAATTATTTACTAAAATACGCAAAACAAGAAGCTGTCTCCTCATTAGCATAAAGTTAACAGGGAGAGCATTATGCTGTGACTCGCAGTAAACACACATGCTATAGATGACATTTTTATACCCTGATATATTGTGCTGCTGTTGCTGTTAAGATACGACTCAACCAACGGCGCCTGTTCCTCCGAGTGTTTCGTCCTGCGCGTCCTCGTCCGACTGTCCACATTGGACTGGACCATTAGTGGCTCCTGGCGCTTTTTTTTCTGCTTCTGCTCTAGCAGTGCCCGCTGCAGAAAATACAAAGAAAAGCATCTGTTACTGGACTCCAAACAGTAGCAACCTACAATGAAAAACAATGGATATCTTTACACCTCCGGTTTTATAGTGGCAGCAGTTGGAGAGTGGGATATTGGGTAACAGGAAATCTTTCCAAAAAACCACGACTAACCCACTGCTAAAACACCTTCTGCTGAAAACAGCAAATAATTAGAATAGATCTTTCTGAGCAGTCCAGCAGCTGTTAGAGCTTGCTTGGAAATAACCCTTGGGAAAACAGCAGTGTGAGAATACTGGCTGTGAAGCAACAGGAGGGTAAGCAAGGGCATAAGGCAGAGATGCCAATTTCAGTTTCTGTAAATTAAAAGCAGGTGATTGCAAACTAGAATCAAGTGATAATACTGGACATGAGCCTAATTTAACAGCTATAAAAGATGAACTTTAATTAAACACTTAAATTTCTCAGCTAGACCTGCTGAAAACCAAAACCTTCAGCATTCAGTGGCATCATAGGTAGCTCTCTTTGAGTCCTCTTCCACAACCATAGATAACTGAACTGTTAATTTTACTTATCCATTACCTTACCATTTGCTTGCTTCTGTACATTGATAGTTTAGCTTGTAGAAAGGAGATGCACTAAAACTGAAGAATAAGAATGGATAGTGGACTCTTTCAGCTCCATAAGTTATGTTGAACACCTCAACATGACTCCAAAGTAATTAGAATCAAGTACAGGATTATGGTATAAATAGAAGGTATTTGAATCTGAAAATGAGATGCTGGTAGACGTGCAAGCTGATAAAACAATGGGAAAAGAAACGTATAGAAAAGGATAAAATTAAATGCACAAGATTTAACTATAAATATGACAAAGTTTTTTGAGAAGAGGACCACAAGAAAATCAAAGTAAAAGCAGAAACCTCAACTCCCACTAAAACTTGATGGTAGAACTCCCTCAGATTTCATGGAAGAGGTTCTGACTCTCTTTCTTATAAAAGTCATGTAGTAATACAGTAGCAAAATAGGCAACATAGCACATAGTGCCACTAGGTTACAGCCACAAGGGCTAGACTCATAGAACGACAAGCCAAGTATGTAAAATCTTTGTGGTTAACCTCTGTTGGCTGGCATGGCTGCCAGAACCTTCTGTCCTTTCTGGTCCATCAGTTGGGTAACAAATACATGGTAAGTCAGCTTAAAATGAGTCCAAGGCAGTGGAAATGAGAGTCATTCAAACCACAGTCATAAGTCAAATTTTAATGGCAATCAGACTTCTAAATAAACTGTAACCTCCACAGATCTCTCTGTTGCATTTCCCCACTCAGAGGATGCAACTTCCTATCAATTATCAGATACATGTGTCAGTGACTTCATTACTCCAAGATCTATACTTCAGAGAGCAAGAAGGTCCTCCTCCAAAATCTTACCTGCCTGTCAAGCTTCTGCTGACGCAGGCTGCTCCCCTCATCATCCAGAACACTGCAAAGACAAAGGGCACGTAATTGGAACAAATTTATCACTCAAAACAACACTCAACAGCAGTCACTGGAGCAAACCCTTCTAGGAGTTATCCATACACAACTCCCACTATGTTCCATGGAAGTTTGCCTGCCCTAACCTGCAAAAGTTGGCTCCAGAGGATCTAAATGCAGTCAATGAAAAATTGAAAAACTCTGACTCACACAAACTTCAACAAAACTATATATTCAGGCACTTCAAAAAGAAATAAAAAAATCCATGGTCTACAGCTTGGATTCTTCTCCACTGCCTTCTAATGTAAAACACCAATGTATACAGCAAAGGGGTTTGATTGAAAATTTGCATATAAAGCATAGAAAAAGTGAGAAGCGTAAGAGAGCTGCTTAGCAACTCAGCAATATTTAAAATTACGTTAGGAAAATTAACTGTCTAATCTTTTGCACACTGAAAACTATAATTTATTCCTGAATATATGAAAAGTCACACTTACTGCCACACACTTCAACATTTACAGGCTGGCAAGATAAACAGCATTGCTCACTGCCATATTTCTTTCTGCTAATTGTTGCTAGTTGGGAGATTAGCTCCTGTGCATTCAATCATTTTCATTAATTAGATGTTAAAGACTGGCATTGAAATCAGAAAGCTATTTTTGTGAAGTATTTTATCAAACTACTGACTACGCTTTATTTTTCAGGAGAACAAAGGTCTCTATTGTAAGAACACTATGGTTAAACATTGAACATAGATAATTAAATCTTTTAAACAGTAATATGTCATCTACAAGGAAAATAGCGCTATAGAACAAAAACAATAGCCTCTTACAAGTAGAGTTCATTTTCTCTTACAATACATTTTTACAAAAGGTTAGTCCCTTCTCTTATAATCACTCTTAACAATCAAAAAGAAAATTAAAATCCAGGACAAACAAACCTGGATTCTGACCTACATGCAACCCAACTGTATTGCAATGAAAATGTCATAAAAAATGTGAATCCCATGTATTAACATACACTCTTTAGGAGCCAGTAACATTACGGTAGGGTCGGATAGGTTAATAAAGGCATGCAGAATGCCACCTTTCTAACGCCAGCATTATCAGAGACATGTAATTAAGCATTCCTGGTAGCATCAGCCTTTTGCAACTCATACTTGGGTTATTTGTTGCGAAAGGCTGATGTTCCACAGAATGAAACTATGCTGTTCAAGTACCTCAGGTATGAAATTACACAGTCTTTTGCAGAGGTAATGCATTACCCACAGTCCACAAAAAAAAAAANCAAATCTCTGCCTTCCTCAGTGCTGTGAAAAGAAAAATCACTCCCCAATGGAAATTCACCATTTTCACAGAAGTAAAATTACTCTTCTCTGTAAAAATGAGCTTTCATCATTTGCATTAAATGTAATTAAATAATGTAATTAAATTGTTGCAGTAACTAGTGTATCTCTGAATGCTATTTGGCTCCAGGAATGCTCAGTACATATTTGAAATCCAGATTGAAAAGAACTATATTCATAGCAGAATTCTGCAATGTCAAATAAGGCTAAAATGTTTGTTTAGGTTTTAAACAAACTTCACAAAATAAGAGGAGTAGAGATACATGAAAACAAGCAAACAGATGTAATTGTGACATATTACAGAATGGGAAGCAAAATATTTAAAAATCTTTAAACAAACAGGTAGCAATATGTCCTTATGAAGGACACTGAACCAAAAATAAATCACAACACAAGAAAGAGAAGACAAAACAATCTGTAAGTGATCTCTCCTACAAAGAGGGATAAAATTTCTTCTAGTGAATAAATGCCTTTGCTGACTTTTACACAGAATTTAAACTTAATAGCAATACAAAATGTTGTTATTGATTCTTATTTTGCTATATATAATGATGAAATAGCGATTAAGATGTGTTTGGTACTGCAAGAGAGAGAGGCCTGTAATAGTAATAACTAGAGCCAAACATCATGGAAGTCAATGGAAGGATACCTATTGGTAGAAATGGCAGACAGGTAATTTAGAGCCCAACCTACAAGTGTACCTACCTGGTCTACAGATGCTGACAGGCAAACACTGTTACCACTGGTAGTGCTCCAGTTCAAACTAACCACTTACGGACCGGAGTGCCAAGGATGCTTTATCGTGAGTTGGTCTGTTCAACTTTAATTCACGCCAGTTTCCACAGATATCTTTTATTGGTTCATTAGGCATCACGCCAACAAACAAAGGATTTTAAAAAGATACACTACATCTGAGTCATTTGCAAGCTACAGTATCTGAAAACTTTTACCTGTAGGTGAAATATGGGCAGGAACTGAGAAGAAAATTTTTGTCTGGAGAATTGTGCATGGTGCATTCTGCAGTCACTTCCTCGCTGGAAGGACACCCATGTCCTTAAAGTCTCACAGCACCCAGAAGAATTGCTAGTAACACTTGGAAGGGAACAGAAAAACCCTTTTATCCTATCAATGTGTCACTTCTGTGCCTTGAGGTTATTTAAGAAAAAATTACAGTGATTCTGGCAACTTTCCTCCTTACTGTGTGGAGGCGTACTTTCAGGAGAGTTATTTTGTTAGTTATTAGACTATCAAAAAAGAAACTCAAAAAAGCCCTGTACCTATTCAGTTTCATCCTGAATGAAACTTGTCCCACCATCTTCAGTCCTGAGTAAATGAAGGAAAGACACGTCTGTACATGTGGAAGGAAGCCACATTCCCTTAGTGAGCTGCCCCAACCAAGCTCACTCATAGTCCTTAATTAACACCCCTTCATCCTACTGCATCTCAGATCTATTTGCACTTCTCTTCTTTCAAGCTAGATGAAGCAAAAAAACATGTAGCCAGAGGACTAGCAGCAATCACCCTGAAGAGATTCAAAAGCAGCCAACGGCTCCTTCATATAGACAAACTTAGCTTAACTAGCGAAATACGCTGTTCCAGTATATCTGCCCACAAGTACCTCACCAGGCTGATGTTCTATTCCAGAACAAAAATTACTGGCTTTTTACTCCACACTCTGATAATTATTCTGGAATTTAATGAGTTTTTATTCCAGAGCAGAGTTGCCCATCAGGGAACCATTGCAGCACAGATAACTGCATCACAATAAGCTGTGGCAGTGTATGAAAGAGAATTTCCCAGCGCAGAAAGCCCAGCATCTCAGAATCCCTGAGATGTTATCTCTGACCTACTTTGCTCAAAGTACCATAGAGATATCTCCACACAGGCATCCAATTATTTGTTGAAATCAACAAGTACTTTTGTGCTACACAGAATTAGTACAAGCTAAAAAAGAGAGTAGAGCAGGATGATAGGTGGAAAGAAGTGTTCTTTCTGTAGCATTTGCAGCACAGGAATTGATTTCACAAACATGCTCATCCAAGCAATGTAGTTCATTCAGTAGGCCATCAACTCCCATCAAAGAGTCATTCTTAACTTAAAATCAGCATGCCCATAACAGCAACAAATGAACGGAAAAGAGCAGAATAGTTCTTTAGAAACAGCCCAGCTGTCTCATGCATCCGACACTGCCACATACAAATGTTGTCATTGAAGGGGAAGAAAATGCCAGCCCTGAAGCTGAACACCACAGTTAGAAATGGTCACCAAAACCTAACTACGTACCACGCAAACGGGGTAACTTGAGACACTAAGCACATTCCCAGAGAAGACCACGCCGAAAAAGGACACTTCTGGAGTTCTTATAATATTTTCAAAAGCAACATGCCTAACAAAGGATTTTACAAGGCAATAAAACACTCCACTAGGTAATTAAATTCTCCTAAGTCAGCTTTTGCTAGCTGCATGCTTTATTACAAGGAGAGTTATCCCAAGGGATTAACAAACTTTGTGTTGAATATGACAAACTTTACTATATTTTTCTGGTCTTCTGAAACCTTGTAAAATATTGCAAAGGTTTGAGAGATAAATTTAGAACAAGCTGATTTAAGAAGAATAAGTTCCTAAGTATTCCGGTAAATGGTGTGGTATAATATTACAGGAAGGGTCACTTTTACCTCAAGAGCACAGTAAATCTCACAGTCAGGAAGTCCACTCTGGTGCAAATTGGTGCAAAATTTAGCTCAGTTAGTGCAGTTTTGAAATTTGCTACCATTGAGGGGATGATAATGTCTCTTTCTCTGATTTGTGAAAATTAAAACCTTGATCAACTGACAATACAGGAACCACAGCACCTCTGTACCATAAGACACTACTTCTTAGAGTAGCTCTGTACCTTTGATAAACTATTGAGTGAAAGAGGAAAAATTTCTGACTTGTTTGATTAAAAAATAAACAAACTAGAATTTTGTGCTAAATTAAATTCTTAGGTTGGACTGCAAAGAAATTTCATTTAATCTTCAAAAATTACATCCCAGACCCTTAGAAACAGTAAAGAGAAGGCAATATTACTAATTATTTTTATATTTATTAGAAAAACATAATTAAAAGAATACTTTTAGAAAAAAATAATTCTCCTTCTGAAATCACTTATGGTATCCTATCTACTTGCAGAAACAAGATAAAAAAGGCCCATTATTACCAAAACCTTAACATTTAAACAGTGCAATTTCCAGGTTCTAATAACAAATTCTGTAGTTGTAACCAACCAAAAACTTCCATCAATTGCTAACCAGGGGGAAAGAATCTGAAACCTGAACTTCTCAGAGCATGATTAGTTAGTTAGTCCACTAAATACCAACCTTCTTGTTGAAAGATACGACCACCAACTGAAAATGAAACAAAAGGACAGACAAAAAGTACAGCACAGGCAGTATTGATAGAGAGCCTGAGGAAAAGTATGCACATAACCTCTTCAGGGGGCCAAAAAGCATGGGCCATATAAGCACAGAACTAAACAATGCCTGGTTTCCTTAGGATTTATTTCTGATTATTAAAGTCTTTGAAGTCTAACAATACAAAAATGGCTTTAAAATTTTTTCCCTATGGGTGTGATACTTGAAGTTTCTCTGTCCCTACTGGATTCTGTAATCTTTAATAAGAAAATGGGTACATTGTTCAAGCTTGAAATGTTCTTCTGCACCTACTTGCCTATTTTAATGAACCTTGCAGAAATACGGCATCTTTGAAATTATTATATTCAGTCTTAGCTGAAATTAGTTGACAGGCTTCAAATTTATCATTAACACTGTCAGGCTTAAGCAAAGTTATGTACAGAGGAATACACAGAGTGGAACCCATTAGTTTTACTTCACCAGGCACCAAGGCTGAAAACACTTAAAAGAGTCACGGCAGAAGGGACAACCCACTCTTCCTTCCCCACAGCACTGAAAGGGCAGCTAGTTACCTTGCTCCTTCCTGTTAGGCTAGAATTGCAAGTTCTGATGTTTTTATCCCCAAACACAAGTGAAGGATATCAATTATTTACTAAAATACGCAAAACAAGAAGCTGTCTCCTCATTAGCATAAAGTTAACAGGGAGAGCATTATGCTGTGACTCGCAGTAAACACACATGCTATAGATGACATTTTTATACCCTGATATATTGTGCTGCTGTTGCTGTTAAGATACGACTCAACCAACGGCGCCTGTTCCTCCGAGTGTTTCGTCCTGCGCGTCCTCGTCCGACTGTCCACATTGGACTGGACCATTAGTGGCTCCTGGCGCTTTTTTTTCTGCTTCTGCTCTAGCAGTGCCCGCTGCAGAAAATACAAAGAAAAGCATCTGTTACTGGACTCCAAACAGTAGCAACCTACAATGAAAAACAATGGATATCTTTACACCTCTGGTTTTACAGTGGCAGCAGTTGGAGAGTGGGATATTGGGTAACAGGAAATCTTTCCAAAAAACCACGACTAACCCACTGCTAAAACACCTTCTGCTGAAAACAGCAAATAATTAGAATAGATCTTTCTGAGCAGTCCAGCAGCTGTTAGAGCTTGCTTGGAAATAACCCTTGGGAAAACAGCAGTGTGAGAATACTGGCTGTGAAGCAACAGGAGGGTAAGCAAGGGCATAAGGCAGAGATGCCAATTTCAGTTTCTGTAAATTAAAAGCAGGTGATTGCAAACTAGAATCAAGTGATAATACTGGACATGAGCCTAATTTAACAGCTATAAAAGATGAACTTTAATTAAACACTTAAATTTCTCAGCTAGACCTGCTGAAAACCAAAACCTTCAGCATTCAGTGGCATCATAGGTAGCTCTCTTTGAGTCCTCTTCCACAACCATAGATAACTGAACTGTTAATTTTACTTATCCATTACCTTACCATTTGCTTGCTTCTGTACATTGATAGTTTAGCTTGTAGAAAGGAGATGCACTAAAACTGAAGAATAAGAATGGATAGTGGACTCTTTCAGCTCCATAAGTTATGTTGAACACCTCAACATGACTCCAAAGTAATTAGAATCAAGTACAGGATTATGGTATAAATAGAAGGTATTTGAATCTGAAAATGAGATGCTGGTAGACGTGCAAGCTGATAAAACAATGGGAAAAGAAACGTATAGAAAAGGATAAAATTAAATGCACAAGATTTAACTATAAATATGACAAAGTTTTTTGAGAAGAGGACCACAAGAAAATCAAAGTAAAAGCAGAAACCTCAACTCCCACTAAAACTTGATGGTAGAACTCCCTCAGATTTCATGGAAGAGGTTCTGACTCTCTTTCTTATAAAAGTCATGTAGTAATACAGTAGCAAAATAGGCAACATAGCACATAGTGCCACTAGGTTACAGCCACAAGGGCTAGACTCATAGAACGACAAGCCAAGTATGTAAAATCTTTGTGGTTAACCTCTGTTGGCTGGCATGGCTGCCAGAACCTTCTGTCCTTTCTGGTCCATCAGTTGGGTAACAAATACATGGTAAGTCAGCTTAAAATGAGTCCAAGGCAGTGGAAATGAGAGTCATTCAAACCACAGTCATAAGTCAAATTTTAATGGCAATCAGACTTCTAAATAAACTGTAACCTCCACAGATCTCTCTGTTGCATTTCCCCACTCAGAGGATGCAACTTCCTATCAATTATCAGATACATGTGTCAGTGACTTCATTACTCCAAGATCTATACTTCAGAGAGCAAGAAGGTCCTCCTCCAAAATCTTACCTGCCTGTCAAGCTTCTGCTGACGCAGGCTGCTCCCCTCATCATCCAGAACACTGCAAAGACAAAGGGCACGTAATTGGAACAAATTTATCACTCAAAACAACACTCAACAGCAGTCACTGGAGCAAACCCTTCTAGGAGTTATCCATACACAACTCCCACTATGTTCCATGGAAGTTTGCCTGCCCTAACCTGCAAAAGTTGGCTCCAGAGGATCTAAATGCAGTCAATGAAAAATTGAAAAACTCTGACTCACACAAACTTCAACAAAACTATATATTCAGGCACTTCAAAAAGAAATAAAAAAATCCATGGTCTACAGCTTGGATTCTTCTCCACTGCCTTCTAATGTAAAACACCAATGTATACAGCAAAGGGGTTTGATTGAAAATTTGCATATAAAGCATAGAAAAAGTGAGAAGCGTAAGAGAGCTGCTTAGCAACTCAGCAATATTTAAAATTACGTTAGGAAAATTAACTGTCTAATCTTTTGCACACTGAAAACTATAATTTATTCCTGAATATATGAAAAGTCACACTTACTGCCACACACTTCAACATTTACAGGCTGGCAAGATAAACAGCATTGCTCACTGCCATATTTCTTTCTGCTAATTGTTGCTAGTTGGGAGATTAGCTCCTGTGCATTCAATCATTTTCATTAATTAGATGTTAAAGACTGGCATTGAAATCAGAAAGCTATTTTTGTGAAGTATTTTATCAAACTACTGACTACGCTTTATTTTTCAGGAGAACAAAGGTCTCTATTGTAAGAACACTATGGTTAAACATTGAACATAGATAATTAAATCTTTTAAACAGTAATATGTCATCTACAAGGAAAATAGCGCTATAGAACAAAAACAATAGCCTCTTACAAGTAGAGTTCATTTTCTCTTACAATACATTTTTACAAAAGGTTAGTCCCTTCTCTTATAATCACTCTTAACAATCAAAAAGAAAATTAAAATCCAGGACAAACAAACCTGGATTCTGACCTACATGCAACCCAACTGTATTGCAATGAAAATGTCATAAAAAATGTGAATCCCATGTATTAACATACACTCTTTAGGAGCCAGTAACATTACGGTAGGGTCGGATAGGTTAATAAAGGCATGCAGAATGCCACCTTTCTAACGCCAGCATTATCAGAGACATGTAATTAAGCATTCCTGGTAGCATCAGCCTTTTGCAACTCATACTTGGGTTATTTGTTGCGAAAGGCTGATGTTCCACAGAATGAAACTATGCTGTTCAAGTACCTCAGGTATGAAATTACACAGTCTTTTGCAGAGGTAATGCATTACCCACAGTCCACAAAAAAAAAAATTAAAGAAAAAACCCTTCCCACCCACAAACATGTTCTGATTTACGTCAAGCATTCTTAATTTGATAAATTACAGAAACAAGTTATAAAAAGAAGACATACATTCCTCCATAGTATACAGTATCAGGTTTTCACAAGAGTACTTCACTACAACTGCAATACTTATTAGCTGCACTGCTAGAAAATAAAACTACCCTAATGGATATCTTTGGCCAAACAACTGCGTAAAAGATGCCCAAGTATAAAGTTTCAGGCTTAATGGTCTGAACAAATCCTTCTCGTTTCAGACAATGCTTGATAAAAAGCCAAAACCATGTAATGATGCTAATAAAGAACAGAAGAACTGCAGAGGCAGCAATGCATATACCATCCTGGCACGACACACGGAATAAGGGAGCAGGGAAATGTTCTTTGTGTGGTTCTAAACCTTACCTGTGACTCCCTGGGAAGCCACAACAAGGTAAATTCAGGTTCAGGTAAAAAGGCACAGCTCCTTCAATTCTCTTTATGCCCAACCTTGGCATGGCAAACATGGCAGTTTAAATAATACAACAGCAACCCCCAATCAGGGGAATGGTGTGATTTGCATTGATTCAGCATTCCACGAATGCAAAGCAACTATCAGATACAAGAGAGGACAACCAAAAAAGAATAAAACTCCATCCAAACACTATGGATGCAGTGATGCTATAACACCTCTCCACCTGCCCTTCTACTGCAAGACACTGCTTTTCAAGTCTCTGAATATATGCAATCAAAGCTGAGACTAAGAACAGCGTGCTTTGAAAACCAGATGACAAGCTCGTCTGGAACTTCCAGGTCCTTCATTCCCCCACTTCGTATTTTATAAAGCTCTGGGTAGTTTTCACAATCCTGTTGTAAATATGCAATGACAAGCCGTGCATTATTTAAGCTTAACATCCAACAACTAAAATGGAACTCCAGCTTTCTTCAATGACACTGAGGTTCAACAGAATAGTTACTTCACCAATCCTCTCCCCCTCCAGGTTACTGGACTTGTATGAGCATGCCTTGCTCCCCCCAGCCAGCCACACCACTCTTCCAAATCCTTCACAGTGTAATTTTAAAAAGGCCTCATTACCACCAACTCTGTCTCTTTTAGAAGTTACTCAATGCCAGTATCACTGAAAAGCTGTAATTCTGTCCTTTTCTGACGCCTAAATAATGCTTATGCAACTCCAAATACAAAGAGGATTCAATTTAGTCTATATATTCTTCTGCTATAATAACACAGCACTCCAGTTTGAGACTGTGTAATTTGTCAATATTTTCTGCAGAAGTAGTGGACCTTGGAGTTGCTGATTAGCAGCCAACATTTCACTTTCCTTGATTTTCAATAGAAAAACTCTCCTAAGACTGGGTGACGTCCAAGATATGCCATTAAGGGACATCAGGGCTTAAATACATGCATGCATAAATAAGTGAGTAAATAAATAATATAAGCTCTGTTTCCGTAGCAATTCCATCAGGTTCTCACTCTAGCTGCCTTGAAAAACATCTGCAGAAGAATCTGAGATGGAAGTGTGCAAGCACCACTGACCCTTTTTCTCACACTTCAGTGAATCCTTGCAGAAAGATTTAGCAGATCATCTTGCCACAGCATCTGGCAGTCCATACATTCTGTCAGATGCTCCAGGGCCTAAGAACTGAAATCCAAAAAACTTACCCTTTTCTTTCATTGGAAAACACAAAAGTGTAGGAGCAGATGCACAGCCTTTGCCCTTCCTGATCTTTCAAAAAAGCAGAATTCAACTGCTCATCCCCATGGAAGAGTTGTGCACTTCTGGTGAGGACCCAGCCTGTCCTGCCCAGTTTTGGAAGTGGCCATAGTTTTGCTGCTCTGAGGTCCAAATAACTGGGATGGTCAGAGAGTAAAGGCCCAGTACAGAGGAAAAACTGACTAGAAATGGCAGGAAAGACGGCAGGAAATAATCTCATAGAGAGGCTGTTAGAACAATTCTGCCTACATGTTTGATGGGATGCTAGAAAATCCCAGGAGCAGCATGAAACTCTGTCAGTCTTAATAGAGAAATATAACTTTATAATTCATGAAAATTGAATTATTGAAGAGCATGCATACATATTAGCAATCTGCACAGCACGCTGAAGTATCCTGAAGATCCAGTAAGGTTCATTTTTACTCCTATTTGATCAAGTACCGTGCCTGGCACCTTGGCTACGGCTTTGACCCATTTAAAACAGAAAGTCATTTGACACTATATATAATATTGTAAACAGCACTTCAGCTCTGCAGTAATAGTCTAGTTCAAATCCTGTTGACAAATCAGAGCTTGTATATATTTCCTCGCAGATCATTATTCAGGGAAAATCCATCCATCCATCTATATCAAACTTGAACAATCCATCCATTACAGTTTACTGGATGTTGGGCTTAAGAAGTCAAGCCTATAGCTCTGTATGGTAAAGATTCAAATTAGCAGCCTGGACCAAGGCACACAGAGACTTAAGCATTATATTTAGATACTATTATTTTCAAATTTTAAATACAGCACCTCATTCAAATATCCCCACCTCCTGTTTTCTAAAAGGAAATACATTAAATGAACATTCACTTTTGTGTCAAAGTATTACTTTTCATACTACCTCTTTAAGATACAAAATCTATTTTACTGAAACAGTTTCAACACTAAATTCAATCTACACAAAAATAGCCAGGCCTATTATACTGCTGCATGTCATAACGAAGATAAAAATATACACAAAAAATTTTAGTATTCTCAGTTTTTCATAATCTCTATTCCTTAGAAATCATTTAAAGAGAAACCCAAGACCTATCAGGTTTTAAGGATGAAACTTCATGATTACATGAAGCTCCACAATTTACTGCTGAGATGAAGGCAGAAGATTCTGCAAGTCAACATCTTGCTACATTTTACTGTAATTCCACATGGACTGATTTCAATTTAAGTAAAATCTGAAAAGCCTTAATTCAAATAACACATTTCACAGCAAGTACTTTGCCTTCACTCTTTGAACACACAAATGCTTTCATTTCAGTAAGCCTTTGCAAGAAAAAAGAATTAAGAAGAAACGTTTTTAATTAGAATGTCCAAGATGCATGTAGTCCCTGATTTTATTTTGGTTTTTTTTAAAAGAAAAAGTCTGACACAGTAAAACAGCTCTATTGTTTCTGCCTGACAAAGAAGGCAATGCTTTTGTTCCTTCCTGACACTGCTTCATAAAGGAACATTTTCCATGACAATTATGTTTTTACCAGGACAAAGGTCCAAAATCTTACCTAGCACATCTCTGCAGCCCAGCACTAATTCAACCAAGAAGCATAACTGGTCACACAAGCAGATACATCCTACCACTACTTTCATACACTGTTTAAGAAGTGTCACTTGCATTTTCTCTTTTTGCTACTTCATGACAATACATTACTAATGGCAGAACCCAAAAGCTCTATGTGAAATCAGGGACCTTTACACAAGCAAAGTGAATGCACATAATTAGGGAAAATTCCTTAGACAAACAGTTCCATTATGAAAAGATGAGAAATTGGATAAGAAAATGTTCCTCCCATTTAGAACACTGAACCAGAAGCAATGGAAAATTAAAGGAGATATTTTCATCTCGAGTTTCTTCTGCCATATTGTCAATTGCCATTCAAAAACAAAGGATGATCAAACCAGACAGAAAGAAAAATACACCAGACCAATCTTCAAGATCACTCAAATC